GTGTGTGCGTGTGTGTGTACCTGCAGCCGTGGATTGATGGTGAAGCTGCCGGCTGTGGGGTTCATGCAGGACACGTATTGAACGTTGTGTATTTCCTTCAAAAGCAGCTTATTACGGTCATACCTGGGAGTATACACACAGACATACACGCAGGAAAAAAACATTATTTAACAGCCTCGCACGCACACAAACACCCACACGCTACACACACACCTTCCCCATGCTTTCGCCGATATGGACGCCTCAGCTCCTACATAAGCTGGCGTGGCTCGCTAGCATCCTCCATCCTCTCAATTTCATACCTGAAATCCTCCCAGCATATCTCTAATGGGCTGACCGTGTCTAAGCCAGTCAGCCTGTGTCTGACGCAGTGGAACCATGTTCAGAATGGCCTCACTGTGTCAAAGAGATGAGCAACAAAATCCTTTTAAGGGGACTCATACAACCCTGTACTCACGTTTGACTTCTGACACTCATAAAAGTTGGAGCATATTGATACTGAGGTGGGGATCTGTCTGAATACTAAAAGGAAGATGTTTTCAGTAGAAAGCCTGTTCGTTTGAATTATTAGGGTATTACGCCTATCAGCTGCTGGCACTCTATTATCTGAATTATCCCTTTCTGTGTTAATACATGGGAAAATTCTCTGAAAGCGTTCGTCATTGAAGCAATTAAAGTGATGAACAATTCCACTGCTGGTGTGGTCTTTCCTGGAAATTACCTACAAAGACACAGTGTAGGCATAATGTCTTCCTGTTTAAACAGCCCAGGCATGTACTCATGTTTGCTCATACATATATATTACAAAGCTGCATGTCAATGACAGAGCCTCACCAGTGGTTGTAGTCCATGTGTTGGCGTATGAGTGTGTGAGGTTGCACTGTTCCATATGCATCCACCTCAGGCATATTCATGTCGTCTATGAAGTAGATCAGTCTCCTGCTGCCTGGAGGTCCGTAGTTGCGCCCGGCTTTCTTCTCAAGGGGCTTTTCCAACACGGCTGTGTGGGAGACGAATGGATAAGCAGAGAGCAGAAATGTGGGAAAGAAAGAATGAATGCTGAGGAAGGTGTAATTGAATATCAATATTTATGGAGTAGTTTAGAGTTGGCGAGTCAGTGTGGAGACATTTTATTCAACTGGAAGAGTACAGAAGCCAGTGGTCTTGACCTGGGGGCCCACAAAAGGGGTTGGAAAGAAGAAAAGACATAAAAGTCTGCTACATAAAAATTGGATTATCTTTCTTTTTCTTTCTTTGCCTTTGTTTTTTATTTTATTTTAAAACACTGTATAGTTTTACCTTTAAGGCCCCTAGCTAATATTTACATGAAAGGGAAAATCACACTTGCTCACAGTGTATAGGCATGCATCCTGTACGAGGGGTTGCAAGTAGACATTTCTTCGTATTAAGTGTTCACAAGCCTGTGTGTGTTGTTCCAATATAGAAAATAATGGACACAACCAAATCCAGAGCATTATGGGTACTATTGTAGTTTTCCTAGCATCATTCCACAGCCTAAATCCCAACAGCAGAATTAAAAAAACATTTTTAAACTTATTTTGGCTAATGTGAGTCCAACCATATTAATGCAATTTTTGACACTTTGGGGTCAAATACGTCAAAACAATAACAAAAGATAGTTTGATGACGGTGTGAAGTACCATAGGATCATGGGAATTGTTGTCTTCTTTGGTAAACAACCACCATAGCTGACGTGACTAAGGTAGAAATCATGTTCATGGCTGAGGAAATCTATCAACGTATTCACATAACGTTAAGTGACATCCATATTTACCCAGAAGTCAAAGCAACTACACAAAAGTAGGAAACACACCGAAATGACAGATTTGGTGGAAATATTTTTCATCATGTAGGTACACAACTCAAAAAAATATATAGACTGTAAACAAGATGAGATAAGACAGACTTTATTGATCCCACACTGGGGGAATTCAGTAAACAGTAAGTTAAATTGGTAGGTGTTCCAATATAGAAAATAAAACACTGTTCAATATTTTCTATATTGGTAAAGCTCAATGTGCATTACTGCACTTTTACCATGAAAAACATAATCAGTATTTCTGAACTTCATTACATTTTTAATTTGAATCAGTCAATATAATAAGCATGGTTCCTACCTTGGAGCATTGCAGACGTGGTGTAATAATTAAATGGGACATTTTTAATCATGTATTTCTCTGCATCCAACGATCCCAGTTTGTCCCCAACCAGAACAGACTTCCCTGTCCCAGCATTCCCGACCAGCATGACAGGCCGGCGATGTTCCAGGAGACGGTCCATGAAGTAACGAACTCGAATGGTCTCTGTAGTGTGGACCAGACATGCCTGCACATGGGGGACAAACATATATAAATGTACATTTAAACATATAGTATGTATTGAGGAACATATCTGGCCGCTAAATGCTCCAGCTGGTTGCTAACTTTGTTCGTCAGGCATTAGGTACTGGGCAGGTAGTTTGATGAGAGCGATGAGCCGCAGAGTAATTATAGTTTGATCGATTGTATTTAGTTTTTAATTCAATTCAGTTAGTTTCAAAAGTTGTTTTAGTTAGTAAAAAAGTTTTGTTTTAATTTTAATGAGTTTCAGTATTAGTTTTAGTTAACATAAAACTAGTGATTTATGCACCAGAAACTAAAACAACCTGTTGTACCTGAAGTGGTGTATCTGCATCCATCTCAAACTTGGGCACCATCTTGGACCAGGGTTCAAACTTCTTGCTCTCCGGGTCGATGTAGTAATCAAACACGGTGCCCTGGGATGGGAACTTGATGGTTTTGAACTCGGCCACCCACCACTTGCTGAACTCCACTCGGTAGTCGACCAGCTACACTCACACAGAGCACACACGCAGAGACAAAGAGGGTAGGCGGGCGGTCAATACTCTAAAATGACTTCCTCTCTGCTTTTTTCTCCCCACATACAGTAGCTATGGATCTGTGTGTTTGATTTACGCTGGTGTGAATACAAACCAGAGAACAAATAAATGGCGACAACGTAGAAATATAGCCACAGTAGATGAAGGGTAGAAAATGAAAGATGGCAGGCCTATCTATCCATCTGTCGGATTCAGACAGTGGAGTAGCCTCATCACCTGCTGGCTGGCAGTTCCTCGCCGTCCTTGCTGCCTCCCCACCCCTTGCTACCTGTCTCCTCTATTCACTACCAACTCTCCAGTCAATAAAACCACTTAGCATTTAAATGCACCTGTGATGGGAAAATAAAGTGGAGTACATTTGTACCAAGGGGAGAGCAGTTTTATCCCATAACTTAGATGGACGCGCTTACTGTACGGCGCTAACTGGATTGCTTAGCAACTGCTCGCCACGGCTCTCCTGCTGATTTAAATTCAGCCAGCCTGTGTGTTGTCGAGCGGGAATGGAGTCCACTTCATTTTCAGATGGAGATCTCTCCCTTTTAAAAAAAAACTGCCATTTCTTCAACTGGAAATAACTTTCAAATGACTTTTCATAAATAGAGACACAAAGTTGAGTTGCATAAGAGCCATCACGGCTTGAATAGTACCAAGAATACCCATAATGCAAGTGCAAAAAACTCTTTCAGGGGGCGAGTTATAAGCAGAGAGAGAGAAAAAAAATCATTCAGCTGTTTTAGTTGTGTCCCATTCTTTTCCCTCTTTATGCAACCACTTAGTAAGCGTCTCACATGCCCAGAGGCCCACGCAGTACCTGGTCTTGGAACATGGCTCCCCCAAAGGCCCAGACCGCAGCAAAGACAAAATATAGCTCATATAGTTCTTTGGCACAGTCTGGCGGGGTGTTTTCTGGAGTCAGCAGACACTCCAGCAAGTAGCACAGCATCTGGACCATACTCTGCTCAGGGACAGGGATGATCTTTTTAAACCTGAACAAAGACAGACACATTACATCACCAGATTCAGGCATTACCACTGACTTTGGTTTCTCATTCAGCACGTAAAATGACTACTGTGCCCAGAGAAGTTCAATTATGGTTTCACCTTATGTATTGAATTGCGTCATACATTTTTTAACAGAAAAAATACAGCTTCTTTTGTCAAAACAAAATTCAATTACGTTTATGTCCAGGAAAGCGGATGACAAATGTATCTATGAATATCTATGTGGCATTATGGTGCTGCACAGTCGTGCATTTTCTGGATTTTTGGCCTTGCAATGAGGACAAATTATTCCTCCTCTCTGTCTCCCTCCTCTGCTTCCTGTTTTTGTTAGTTTGCTCCAATAGCAGTGCTGATGGAGGTGTTAGAGGAGGCGAGTGGTCCTGTACAATAGAATGCAGGATGGCATCCAGTTCTTCTGAGTCAGTCCCTGTTTGCTTCTGCCCACTTTTACACAGTCCCTCCCCATGTGTGTCACACCCCCAACATCCTGCGTCAACTGACTGTATGGGTATCATTTCATAGTGACACAGAGCTGCTGAGGAGCTGCGTTACCTTGATCTGAGAGTATCCAGGCAAGAGGGGAGGTACTTGTCGAAGAGTATGGTCAGGTTGGCCTTCTCTGACTGGACCTCCCTCCTGTCGATCCAGCTGGACACCGGCGGGTTCCAGCCAAGGTCTGCTGGGTTTATGTACAGGATGCCTGGAAAGAAAAACAGGTAATATAACACATTTAGTGATTACAGTACCTGCAAACATGGCTGGATAAACTGTTATGGATGCCCAAGGCAAAAATGTGTTATTGGGCCCCTTTTACCAGTTCGTCTGTGTACGTGCCATGACACGAGTGAAATGCATAAATCAGACTATACATAGCTGCTTCAGTATTTTCCTTAACAGCCAGAGATATTGGTCTCAGGGTTCCAGTGCATCGGTTGGTTTGAGGCAATTTGTTTAAAAAGGTGCAAAATGTAAGAACTTTAGTTTCAAACCTTCAACAATTAAAATGATCAATTAAAATTATCAACAGATAATAAAATAACAATTTGGCTGTTATGTCAAACATGTCTATGTGTCAGAGATATTTACATAAGTTAACATTTGGTGCCGAGTTTTCAACTAACTGATCTGTTTTGGTCCCCACCAATTCCTGAGAAAAATGTTTTTTAGCTGATAAATGTGAGTTGATAACTTTGTCTCATATTCAAAACAATGATCTGAAAGATGCTAAAATGCTCAGAATAGCTGAGGGGAACTACAGAATCTCAGCTCCTTTAAAGGTCTTAAAACTAAGTTCTGACACAGGGCCTTTCTATGTGACAGAACCACAAGATTATATAATAGCACATTGTTCTTTAGTGGTGCAAACAATTGTGAACTAACTAGTGGCTAACAAATGAGCAATTAATCAAGTTATGTACAAAAGATTTAAACAAGGCAATCTTTCGGCCCCTGTGGGTCTGTAAAGGGACATTTGAAAAAAAAAAAATCCAATACAACCACAATATTGTGAAAAAGTGCCCAAATAAAAGGATGAGACAAAGAAAAGAAAGCAAGGTCTACCTGCTCTCGATACAGTAGCAGGGGTAGCAGTGCGAAGGTGGCTGATCTCAAACACCAGCCTCATGGTGGGGTTCAGAGGGATCCGCTCATTACTGGCCAGAGTCAGCACCTAACAGAGGGAGACAGTGTATTTACACACAGTGTGTGTACTGTAGATGTGACTGACAGAGAATGTGTTTTTGTGCCTTTTACACAGTGTTAGCCTGGATTATGTCACCTGCTTTTCTCAGCTCTTTACTATTCTTAGCATTACAGGCACACACTGTCATTCATTCTCTCATCCGCAGAATACAAATACTTTACTACTCTCTTGCGTCAGTGATGAGTCAACTACATCTCCCTATTCATATCTGAATGCTGATTTAACTACAGACAGGGAAAATGTGCAACCTTACTCACTTTGAGTCTGAATAAAAGAGTCCACACTTACACACACACACACACACACACACACTCTCAATTCGCTCACACCTTGTTGTCATCCATGACTGTGTTGAGTGACTCAATCCACATCGGGTCAATATCTCCATCTAAAACAATCCATTTAGGTCCACTGTGACTGACATTGGCCAGTTCACGCATTATATTGGAAAACAGGCCTGCAGGGAAAAGACAGTTCACATTCTGGATATTAGAGTCAGGTCATTAAACACTTTGTACTGATCAGACACTGTTCCTGCAGGACTCTGCAATCACCATCTTTCCATTCTCTGGTTGCCGGGTTGATGATGCCAAAAAGCTCGTCATTGGTCACAGCCTTTGGGTTGAGGTCCGCCCACACGGGTCTGCGCTTCATGTTCTGATAGGTCCTCTGGAGTGACCTCATCACCTGGCTCTTCCCAGTGCCTGCGTTCCCGATCACAAACACAGAGTGACGCACCGCCAGCAGCTCCTCCAGCTGCACCACCTGACACACACATACAGAGTGAAACATTATGCTTTGTTTTCGTCGCACAAATGACGCTGATGACAAATAAACACGGCTCTTTTTACAATGGCAATGTAGATAATGTAGCATTTCATGGGCCACTACACTGTAGCACTCCAACGTTGTGGTTTATGGTAGATATAAAGTGATGCAGAATGACAGGGCGGTGTGATGCACTGCAGTGCAGCGCAGCAGCTTAGTACACTGTTCACAGACTACAATAAATGACAGCAGTGGTCTTCTGGAAGGACAGATATCTGCACCCTCATTATTCTCTGTTTGCACACTTAAAGGGCCACTGCACCCATTTACACACAAAGATTAGTTTATTTGTCATGGGAACCAGTAGTCAATAGTTGTATAATGTCTTGTAATATTTCTATGGAGATCAAAAGTGTTTGATTAATTAAACCAATGAAAAAGTCATTATGAAATATATATATATATATATATATATATATAGGCAATAAATATATATATGATAAAATATAAATAAATACAGACAAAATATGTAATATAAATGTGAATATAAATATGAAAATGAAATGACTCATCTCAAGAAATTCGCCTTTGGTTGAGATAAATTAACTTGTGATCTGGAGATAATGATTCCATGACCGTTTAGGATCCAATATAATCATTATATCGGATCCGTTATAACTCAATAAAATGTTTACATTTACGAGTATAAAATTTGACACTTTCCAACATTTTGTTTTTTTTGTTTTTTTTGTTTACTTTTCATCACTACGTCCTTATGTCTCTCAGTCAAGACAAACAGGTCAGAGACAGTAATGTGACTGGCTGTTGCTTTGGTCTGAATGAGCAGATGGACCAATCACATAACTGTCTCATCAGTTAGTGTTGATTGACAGACAAAAGTTTATGGAATATCAAAAGTGAGACAGTGTGCAAACCAAAAACACTTGGTTTGTCAATGTGCTGTTGTTGCAATACACAAGGGAAATGGAAAAATTGTCCACGGCTGCAAAAAATTACTAGGAATTGTGGGTGGTGGTGAAAGAAACAACTCCAGGGAGACCTAGGAAAACAATAATAAAATATTAAATATTCAAGTTTAATTAACAGTGAAGATTTAAAGTTGCAGTCTTATTGAGGTCTCAGGCTCCATGTTTTTTACACTTTAATATAAGACTGACTAACTGCAAAAACAGTATAGTGTACAGTACAAATGATAAACAACCAGTATGTAGTATGGAACTGGGACTGGGTCATTATGATGAATGGCGTTTTTAAAAGAAAATTGTTTTTACAGTTTTTTAAAGACATTTTTAAATAAAAAAAATTAGGTTTATTCATGATATTAAAAATGTTTTCTTCAACATTTATAACAACAACCCGGTGTTATAAACTGGGTCCACAAACCTCCACAAACTATTTAACCTTTTTATTTATTTATTTTTTTAATTAAGTATGACACAACTGTAACCTGGTTTGTAACCTTTCAATAACTCATTGTATCATTTTTAATTTTCCATTACCTAAATATCACTTTATTCCAAAATTGAAATTTTGTATTTTAATCTCTCAATAAATTATACTTTGTGAATTGTATTTCCAATTAAATTACATTGTGGTGTTTTGTGCTCGTTTTCCATCTTCTTGAGATATGCCTTAATGCCTGATCCTAAAGATAATAAATAAATATTTCTCTGCTACAGTAAGTTGGACACTTTCCCAGTCTGACATGCAGTTTCTCTAGCACTGAGGATGTAATGCTTCTCTACATCTGGACACGACTCTTGGGTGAAGAAACATTTTATGTTGTGGGAACACACTGACGTTTGACTTTTTGAATTTTGCCCTGACTTGCGGTTTAACATTTTCTGTCAATTCAGGTATGTTAGGGTGACACCGCAGAGTGTGTAAAAGGGAAAAAAAGGAAGAAAGGGAGATTTCCTCCCAACCTTTACTCAAACATACAGATGGCGAGCTCAATCAATGCCATCGACCGGGCTCCTCACGGCTCCTACTCACCATCCATTCAGCCGGAGCGCGGGCGGCTTCGCACTCGCAAAGGCCCTGGTTGATTACTGCTTTGATGTGGGGAGGGCTAATGCTAGCACGGGCTAACGCTAAAGGTATGCAATCTCTCTCACCTTGCCTGCTCCCCCCTCCTCTTTGTCTGAAATCAAAAGGTTGGTCGCACAAACAAAGACAGTAAAAGTTCAGGCTCTGGGGGTGGATGGTTGTTATCGACCGCTCTGCCATTCTCTCTCTCTCCCTCTCTCTTGTTTCTCTTCCTCTTTGTTTATTTTTGTGGCTGTCTCTCACAATGTCAGGGTTAAGTGGCATGGTGCAGCGCCAGCCTCCATTGATGGAGTGTTATTATGTGGTTCCCGTGTCTATTTGACCTGAGGCAGATTGCACTTATTTCCCCTGGTCCTGCGTTCATCTGTCTCCAACATACACCACCTTCTATTGTGCATGTGTGAGTGTGTGCGTGCGTGCGTGTGTGTGTGTGTGTGTGTGTGTGTGTATCTGTATGTAACATAATGACCAGAATTAGGTCAGGAGCTCGGGCACCTGAACTCTCATCGCAGCCAACCGTTGGCTTTCTGCTATATTTGCCCAATTCATCCAGAAGCTGCAGACTTGCCTGACACTAATGTGTCGTTCCCAGTGGAACATTATGACGTGAGGTAAATAGCTTTTGGAGAGAACTAAGATAAATCTAAATGAAAGTGCTACAACTGTAATATCTGTCTAAATTGTTAAAGATGAAACCCCCATTTGGGGACTTGGCAGATAACTTGTGATTGTGTTTGCCTTCATCCTGGGCTTAGAAACACTTGTGACACATTTCTTGAGTTGTAATCAAAACAGAATCCGATAAACTGCAGCAGACAAGTGCATCAGGGGGCCACTGAGGAATCGTGTTTACCTTGAGTACAAAATTGTCCTCGGCCTGTAACTTCAAGTCCAGAATGGACTCCTTCACGTGCTTCTCAAAGTCCAGGTCTCTCTTCCTTGGGACATCCAGAGCAGGAAACAGGTCCCCAATCAGCCCCATGAACACGGGCATGTCATCGGTCACGATCTTGGGGATGTTGAAGTCTCTCAGAGCTCGCATCAGCACCTGGTCCTCCGCTCGGCCGGGGTCTCCTCTCTTCAGAGAGCCGGCCACCACCAAGACAGATTTGATGGCTCGGAGGCCCCAGTCGTAGTGGTCCTTTGGTGAAGGCCAGAGAGGGGTCAGTGAGCAGAGCAAAATACACAGGCTTCTATTCAGAGCAGTAAAGCTGGCAGTAAGATTGAAAAGGCAGAGCTCATTAAGAATTATCATGAACCTCATCAGAGTTTATCTGCACAATTTCAGTTCACCACTGAGATCCATCAGTCTTCAAACAAACTTGCATTTCCCTCCAGCTGCTGCTAGAAATCTGAGGAGAAACATAAGCTCCATTATTTTAAAACATAAGGTGTGTGTCCACTATGTCTGCCTGGTATCTCATTTAATTAAGTGCCTATTTAACAGATGTCCAAAAAAAAACAACAACAACAACAACAACAACAAAGCAGTACCAATAGGTACTGAAACAGGGATGGCAATGTCCACCAGTCCAGCACTTTGGTCCAGACTGAAACTGGATTGAAATTACATGTGGTTGAGATATCTGGTGCCCACAGACTGACTCTTACTGATTCATTCTGGTGCCACTAGCAGGTGAAAGTTTTCACAAATATCTCTGCATCTAGTAATATGTTTTGTACAGATATTGATGTTCTCCACTGCATGAACTACAATTGTGACCTCTTAACTTTTCATCCAGCAGCATCATCAGGTCAGTTTTATCACATTATGACATTATGACCAAATACCTGCAAAACTAGTGACATTCCCATCAGCCTCAGCTCTACTTTGTGTTTAGTGCTAGTTAGCAAATGTTAGCGTGCTAATACGCAAAACTAAAAATGTCAACATGGTCAATTTTACCTGCTTAACATTGGCATGTTAGCATGCTGACATTAGCATGT